GCTCCAACATCTAGAAACAAAGGTGTTGATGGCAGCAGCACAGCTGATATTTCTCTCCAGGATGATGATAAGATTCAGAGATTAATAAAAGCCACATACAGGTTCCCCTCCTTCAGTGAAAGAAGAACCAACAAAGGACACAGAATTAACAAAAGTAATAAGATAGATAGAAGTTGGATGAAAATGAGTCAGACATTGCTTTTTTTTCAACAGAATGATTAAAAATCAATTAACTTTTTCCTTCTGTCTCTTAAAATTCACCCAAAATCATTGAAGCTTCTATTTATTTAGCAAAGCCAAATAGATTAGTGTTTTTATCTTAAATTAACTTCAAATGAACATTAATTGAATATAAAATGAATCTGAATTAGGGCCAAAACTAACAATTATTTTGCAAAACAATTAATCTCTTGATTTTTTTTTTTTTTATATAAATCAATTAATAATGTGATAACCAAAGGTTCCTTAAAGAAGACTGTTTATGAAATTAAAGCAGGTGAAACTAAAACTTTTCCACTTAAGGAGTTCTGGATTATAGAGCAGATTGACAGACGAAAAAGATATATTTAAATTTTCAATCTAAATCTTGATATAATTGCTGCTCTTAGTGTGTCGCTCTGTCAGCTTAAAGCAGGTTTTAGAATCTCTACACCAATTAAAGATTAATTAATTGATTAATAAATTAGTTGACAATTATTTCAATAATCAATTAATCACGATTAATCCAATTAATTGGATTAATTACATCTAACATGAAGGTACCAGAGGTAAACTGAGTAGATATAAGCTTTTTGTTTTTCTTTATAATTTATGGAAGCAAGGAAAAAATAAATCAGACAGCTTATCTCATAATTACGAGATGGTATAATTTTTACCTTGAAAGCATGCTAACGATTAGCAACAGCTTAGCCTGAATCTGTTTGAAGTTGAACTTTTTGGGTTGCTATGAGTTTTAGCGGAAAGCAGAGGACTGCAGTCTGGCTTCACTCAAACCATCTGGTTTCTGTTTGCTTCCAGCCGACCAGGTGTACGGAGATCAGGACATGCACGAGGTGGTGAGGAAGCACTGCATGGATTACCTGGTGAGTCGCTCCGCTCTGATCACGTGACCCCCCCCTCGGCCAATCGGCTGCAAACTGCCGGCATCTTGAACGAGGCTCGTTTTTCCCCCTCAGATGAAGAACGCAGATTACTTCTCCAACTACGTGACGGAAGACTTCACCACATACATCAACAGGAAGAGGAAAAACAATTGCCACGGCAACCACATTGAGATGCAGGCCATGGCCGAGATGTACAACAGACCGGTGGAGGTGTACCAGTACAGCACAGGTGAGTCCGTGGGCCCAAACGGACCCGGATCCCATTGGTCCTGATTCATCCTCATCGTCCTCCTCTTCCTCCTGCAGAGCCAATCAACACATTCCACGGCATCCACCAGAACAACGACGAGCCAATCAGAGTCAGCTACCACCGCAACATCCACTACAACTCTGTGGTGAACCCGAACAAGGCCACCATCGGGGTGGGACTGGGACTGCCTGCCTTCAAACCCGGGGTACCAGAACCACACCAGAACCCTGCAGTAATACACACAAAAACCACTTCATTATTCCAGAGACCAAAACTAAACCAGGCTCTCATTTCCTCACCTGCTGTTGCCGCACAGCCGTTCTGGAGCTTTGGACTCCAGAACGAATGGAAGCTCTAACCGCCGGTTGTCTCTTCCTCCCAGTACGCAGACCAGTCGCTGATGAAGTCGGCCATCAAGACGTCAGAGGAGTCGTGGATCGAGCAGCAGATGCTGGAGGACAAGAAGAGGGCGACGGACTGGGAGGCCACCAACGAAGCCATCGAGGAGCAGGTGGCCCGGGAGTCCTACCTGCAGTGGCTGCAGGACCAGGAGAAGCAGGCGCGGCAGGTAGGAAGCGTTGACCCGGCAGAACCGACCCGTCGTCCTGTTTCCGCTGTGACCTGGTTTCTGTTTCCAGCCCCGTAAAGCCAGCGCCACCTGCAGCTCGGCCACCGCCGCCGCCTCCAGCGGGCTGGACGACTGGAGCGCCCGGTCACCGCGGCAACGGGACGCCGACCCCTCTCACTCGGACCTCACGACCGCCCCGTCGACCAACAACAAGCCGCCGTCCCCCGCCGGGGCCGCCCTCATCCTGAGCAAACCGCCGTCGCCCTGCGCCCCAGGTAACACTCAGCAGCTCCTCACCCGGTGACCCTTGAACTTCACAGGTTGTTTACGGTTTTAAGGAATAAAATTCCCTTTTTCTAAACACATGAGCCAAAAGGAATGATCAGAAAAGCATCAAACGCTTAGAAGTCTGTGATCGGTCTGGATAATAGGACTGTTTCATGCATGTAGGGCAGTTAGTTCTATCAGAGGTTTAATTAAGGTGTAAACTTTAAAGGAAAAGTTCGGTCAGCAAAGAATAATCAATGGATCAATATTTATACCTAAAACTAATATGTTTGCGGTAATTTAATGAATTTAGCGTTAATCAGTAAAATTAAATTAAATTTACTTTGCGATCACTGAATTTGGGAGCGGCCAATTTTGCCAAAATATAGAAACACATCACCCCCGACTTCCTCTGGCAGTGACGTCACGGTGCGGTAAGCCTAGCGCCATTCTCCCCGCTTTCCAAGCTAAATCAATGGGAACTACTAGACACATCTGCAATCAACAACAATTATTGAAGNGACCCTTGAACTTCACAGGTTGTTTACGGTTTTACGGAATAAAATTCCCTTTTTTAAACACGTGAGCCAAAAGGAATGACCAGAAAAGCATCAAACGCTTAGAAATCTGTGATCGGTCTGGTTAATAGGACTATTTCATGCATAGGGCTGGGTACTGAACTTCGGTTCTTTTATGGTACCGACCGAAATGCTTCGGTTCTACAGAGTATCAAACATGCCTCGTCTTTCGGTACCAAGTTTCGGTGATTGGCTGTAACACTTAACGTGATTGCGTCATCCAGGAAAAATACACAGGTGGTCCCGCCTACAGCCAGGGTTCATGTGTATCTGATGTGAACTGCCGTGGAACCCCTTTAAAATGCCCCCCAGGTCAAAAGTACGGCTTCACTTTATTAAGACTGATGCCAATAGTGCGCAATGCAATACATCGTGCACGGAAACAATTAAAGAGCAGAAAGTTGCTCGGTGTTTGACTGCAAGAAGAGCGGACCGCAGCCGGTGCGACCATCCTCCTCTCAGCAGCCCGTGGGCGGAGCAAAGCCAGACCGGAGTGAATCATGCTGCTTTCAAACTGGACGCAGCAGGAGCAGCAAAATCACGTCTGCTGCTTCCTTTTTTGCTGCTTGTTCCAACTTCTGACGCGCGGCTGAAGCAGCTTTGCTGCTCTGGCTGCGCAGTCGAAAAGTGTATCTGACGCGCGTTGGGCGGAGCTACTCTATCCTTTATTTGCCTTGCAGCTATATTTGCTGTGATCAGTGGGAATAAAGTAGTTTTATTATGATTTTAAGTCGGAAAATCCATCTGAAAACTTAATCAGTGCAGTCAGTTCATCCATATCAGCCTTCCAATATTATTTCTGTGGGAGCCGCTCAGACCCCCCATACCAGCGGTGCGCCAACAATAGGATCCCATTCAACGGGCTTGTTTGTCAGAGATGGTAATTTTTCTAAAGGAAAACTGCTGAGTAAAAAGGTCCTCACAATGTAACAGTGAATATTAGACACTGATTTTTTTTTTTTTATGTAAGAGAAAAAATGTAAATGGAAAAATCAGAGCTTAAAATAAAACTCAAGATTTGTACTTTTTTATGTTGTGTAATTTTCTTTT